AAAAGTAAATATAGCCCTTTTTGTAGTGGTGGTATAAGTAAAAGTCTTTTAACACCATGCCGACAAATTGGTTTATCAAGAAAACGTAAAACATCCTTTAATAAATCTGTAAAGAATTCAGAAAATTTAAATACGACTAATGATAGAAGCATAAACGATTACTGTATTAATGAAACAACCCCGGTGACACGCAAAAATATTTCTAGTGGAAGAAGAAAAAATAATTTACTTATTAATCTTCAAGCTACTCCACTTCCAGATCAAGAATTGTCTCTAGACAGTGGTTTGAAAAATGTAGTAGAAGAAAATGAAGGATTACAAGAAACTTATGATATACCATGTAAGAAAGAGTTATTGCAATCTTTTACATCAAAGGAATTATTTGATATAAATGCTGATCAGCTTTATTCTGTAGAGGATGCAATTACTGAAAATATTAAAAAATTACCAGAGATGATAGATAATACTCAGCAGTTAAATGTAGAATTTATCGAAAAAGGAAAAAATAACATAGGGCAAAATACTTCTGATCACAAAAATTATAGTAAACTGAAGAAAAGGAGGTTATCTAGTAATTTCCCAAATTTTGAAAATATCTGTATAAAAAATGAAAAGTCTTCTAGTCAAACCGCTATAAGTGACAGTTCTGATGATGATTTTGTAGTTAGTAAGAATAGTAAGACTAAACAGAAAAATATAGAGTTGAAAACAAAATATGGGAAGAAAACATTATCTTCACATTGTGTAGATAACAGCTCATTTGAAAGTGATTATTTAAAGGACAATAATAGTATAAAAAATATCAAGGTGCAGTTACAAAAGTTGAGTGAAGATGATATAAAATCGAATAATTTTATCGACAGTAATATTAAGACATTTAATAAAAAATGTAATTCAGATAGTATAGAAGATACTGATTTTTTTACTTCAACGCCAGAAGAAGAAATGACAAAAAGAAAAAATCTTGAAAAAAAGATGACGGTGTTAGAAAATCAAATTAAACAAAAACGATCAATAGTGGAAAATCTTCAAAGAGCTTCTATTTATAAGAGTAAACATAATATTTTGGAGTTAAAGCAGTTAACTTCGTTATGGTTGGATGGATGTGTACAAGCCTTAAGACACCTACTAACCCTCTTACAAGCACATGGTCCCATAGATTTAACAACTCTTTTAAATAACATGCAAATTCCACAAGAAATTGTTGCCAAACTACCACTGTAAATATTAAGTTAATGTAATTATAATTTTATTAAATAATAAATATCACTTTTAATTTTACTCTACCTGTCAAAAAGGAAAATGTTGTAAATATGAGTTAGAAAATGCTTAATTTGTGAGATACAGGATGTTTTAACAAAATTTACAACCTATTTCGATTACTCTTTTTATTTAACTGGGTATTTCTGATTATCAAAAAGAAAAAATAAATCAAAAGAGTAACTAATAAAGCCAAATAAATAATTTCAGAGAGCAAGATATTTTATTTTTGTACCCTACAAGAAAAATTTTTCAAAATCGTTTTGTTTAAAATATAATTAAAATACTTAATTTAAAAATCACAGAAATTGTTCAATATGAATTCTCACATTTTTAGTATCTATGCTCAATAAATCGATAGAAGAAACTTAATCGAACATCCTATATCTTGGAAACTATTCAATCTACAGGGTGATTCACAAACAGTGACCAAAAATGAAACTTTGTATTCTTTGGTGAATTTTAAGGGGTCTCCGTATAAAGATTTTATCTAGGTCGCTTCATTAAAGGGTGATACAGGGAAATATTTTAAATTTTTTTAAATAATTTAAAAACGTAAGTGAAATAATTTGAAATTGGGCACATGTATTTACGTAAACATTGTCCAAAATCTGAGGCCTTTTCCTAAAATTTAGATGCTCCAGTAGCGGAGATACAGCGCAGGGTACCGCTGGCATATTTTTCTAAATAAAATAACGCCACTGTTTTAGTAAAGCAGTAGCAATCATATTTTCGGATTCGTCTTTCAATTTTCTACAAATTACTATTCCTGTTTTTCGAAAAAATCCTAATTTTCGAGTAAAACTTAAAAAACAAATTGAAAACACTGTATCCTCACCCCCTGGATTTCTTTTTGTGTGTACAGTGAACAAATTAATACCTGAACAGTTAGAAGAAATAATAAATAATAATGCTTTTCATCAGATACAAGCCACNCTGACCTCCAAGCCTGTGGGACGTAGCCCATCGCCAGACTGGCCCGGAACACCCTCACCATACATGGCAAGAGAATGTCCAGGCCCCTCTGCAACAACGACGGGAAAACTCCGTCCGGCCCCGCTGCCTTGTAGGGTTCGAACTCATTCACTGCCCAGGTTACTGCCTCGGGTTAATAACTTTGATATTAAGGAATTATTTTAATATTAGGTTGCACTATGAACGTAATAAAATGCAGGATAATATTCTTAGGATAAGGCATAAGTTAACAAAAAACATTTTATTTCGTAATCAATAAATGTCTATTTGAGTAGTATGGATGTCTTTTTTCATTCATAACATTAATTTGATAGAGACAACCTAAAATATAAACCAATTAACAGCTTTATTAGGGGCAAATTTTAACTCCAGTATAGCCGTATCACGCAATGTAAAAATCTACATGTAATTCTATACAAAATATATATTTAAACCTGTTCTAATTTTTAGTTTTCTATATATAAATCTAAATTCATATGTGTTTCTGATAGAAAGGGTTAATGGACCGACCCTATAAAATGAATTAGAATTTTAAAATATGGTCAATCTTTTAGTTTCCTATATACTTACAAATTTTATAAATTCTATGTAAGAGTAAATTTTACACCGTGTCATACAGTTATTAAAATTAAAACGGGTATACCTATCCAAATGGAATTTAATTACTTTGTTTTGTTAAAATCTCTCGTAAAAATCTCCACCGTATTTGAGGAAGAAGTAAATGTAGGGGACTGTGAAGTTCATAAGTAATAAAATAGGTTGAAGAAAAGTTAAATAATCTCATAGATACCTTAAGAAATAAAACAGGCTTTCTTAGCATACCTATTAATGGCACCATATTCTCCCGTGTTACTAGTTTATCTGCGGAAAATAAAATTTACAATTATAATTATTAAACTTGTCATTTTAGTTGCAATCAGCCCCTATAAAATGATACGCCACTGCCCATGAGGGAATGTAAACACAACTTCCTCACCCCTCCTATGAACTATTTTGGCTTCAAGCCACATAGATATAAATTATGTATCTATGTCTTTTCTTGATCTGTGGCCCTAGCCCTGCGTATAAGCAGGCAACGTACGGCGTTGTTTAATTCAGCGGCCACGGGCTAGCCCGATTGTTATGTTGGTTGCTGCCGAGATCATCCCAAAAATAATTTACATCACTCCCATGTTTACAAACTAGAATCTATTCAAATATTGAAAATTTCTCAGCAATCACTTTTAATTCAGTTTAACAGTAACGAGTTAAAATAACCTTAATAATTATAATTATCAAAGAACATTCAACATAGCACCATAGGTATTTATTTCTTTTACGCGATTTACAAATTATCATAAAACGGTTTATTATTTCGTTTACTAAAATTTGTTTTCTGGAATACCTTTGCAGGGAAAAATTGTTCTAATATTTAAAAAATTCATTTGAAGAACAAAATTACAGCAAATAAATATACGTATTGTAGGGAGCTCTAGCCGGGTGGTTATGTTAGGCAGGCACGCGATATTTTTATTTAAAACTTTATTTAACCATAAATACATAAAATCTGCACAACGCTTCTTTTCACACATAAAATATATCTAACCTCTCTTTTTTCTATCCAACTAACCATAAGCCTAAGATCTCCAGATCTCCTCTTCTTCTTATCCGAATCACGCGGGATTTTTTAAATATTTGAATCAGGTTACTACAGTATATATATTTCCAACCATTGGTGAAAAGTCTTAGGTGGTCGATACAACACTCGATGGGTGCTCAATGGGTATATGCGAGCTGTGTACGGGCTCGCCCGACTTGGGCCAAATATTCTAAATTAGTTATGGACTTACGTTTCCGATTACTGTCCAGTCCTAGGTGCGTATAAGCATGCAAGGTATGGTTGGAGTACGGCGTTGTTTAATTCAGCGGCCACGGGCTAGCCCGAATGTTATGTTGGTTGCTGCCGAGATCATGATTAAAATATAATTTTAAAATTTGGTAGGGGGAGTTTCAAAGGACGTAACACATTTTAGATTTAATTTTATAAGAATTGTCAAATCACTTTGATAAATATATACACAAATTTTTGTTTATTCTTCTGAAAATTTCAGGGTGGGCACTGAGCACCCTGCCCACCTCGACGAGCCGCCACTGATGAATATAATGTTATAAATAAATACTGGGATAAGTAGATAGTATGACTTTGTGTAAATTATATACAAATCTGTCGGGATACCTTCATTTAAAGTTGTATGTAAAACATAAATTATAACCTAACGTTGTTGAATATTTCTTAACATTTGCAAACAGATATTCCAGATTGTAGCTTACTATTCAAGAGTTATTGTACTTATTATTTTACTTAGGTACACTATTTTGTGTTTGCAGTTTAATGTTCTCAAGAAGTGGCTAATGCTCTCAAAATGATTAAAATTTTCATACAGAAAAAGTGTTTATATAAATGAAAACCGCAGTAAGAGTTTTCCCAAGAAATACATGAAGAATGTTTCTGCTTATACTTAAATTATTTTAAATTAGAAGTCAATTTTATGGCAGAATTAGTCTCCATAGTAAAAGAGGTCTAAGATTAATTCAAGCATTTCTCACTCGGGCACCACTGGCACTGGCCGTTGCCGTTGCCACCGTTCCGCGGATCCGAATTTGGCCTGGACTTTCTTGCGAGAAACACCGCATTTCTAATGTCAGGAACGCGAAATCCGTAAAAATTAGTCGCAAGTCGGCGGCTGCCATTCCCCACTCGCGGCGCCGCGGAACTAGAGAACCACCGAAGACTTTTCGAGCGCCTCCAAGATCAGTACTCGTCCTACCATGAAGTAAAAAACTTTTGCCTTGCAGGTACTTGTAAATAAATAATATATAGATCGTTAATTTTAACGTCGATTAAAATCTTTTTGGGGAATTTTTTTCAGTTTTTTTACGTTCTACTCTGGTGGTGTAAATAGGTGCAGTGTGTGGTGATCGTCAACATTATAACTAAGGGAAGAAACATACGACTTTTCTATTATTTTGTTATAGTGGATGGATGGGACACGAGGGATAATATAAAAGTAAGTATTACCTACAGGTAACGGTAATTATTTCAAAATTTTAATTATAATTCTTAGGAAAACATGAAGCAATATATTCGCGGAAAACGAAATATTAACATTCGTCTTTATCTGTATTTATAAAACACTTATCATATCATATCAGGGATATTCTAGAGGGAATCGCGATTTATAAAGTTATAATAAATTATCTAAAGAAAAGGAAATGTTTAAAAGTTCGGTTAAAGAAATGCTACTTATCAAATGTTATTTGAATATGATGAATTTTGAAGGACAATTCGTACTTCGAGATACGAGTACAAATAGGTACTTGTCTTTTCTTTGTCTTATACCCATCTTTATGTCTCATAATAATAATAATTATTATTATTATATTAAAATTTAGAGAAAAAAATAGTAAATATTGCAACTGCAAGCTTAAATTCAAGACAGTGAACATTTATCCTGATGTAGCTAATTGCTGATAGGTAGACAATAAAAAAACTGTTTCAATGCTATTTTTTTTTTATTTTTCTCGCCTTTCTCTTCGCAATATCGATTAATTAACACATTAAGTATACGCGACCCACATCGAGACGACTTCGTTATATAACATTCCACATTACACAGAGGAGTATTTTGGTATTGCATCAGAATTTTCACGATTATGTAAAAGATGTGTTTAAAAAATTAGCCGACCTTGACAATTACGCCGTTGAATGTGTAATGTGTAATAGTTAACACCAACTACGTACGTATTTTGTTACATCAGGTAAGGTAAATAAACAGAGAAATTGAATCATATCTACGAATACATCATGTTAAGGCAATAATCGTTTTACGAAATGGAAATGAAAAATTGAAAAGATGAAGACTTAAGTATATAGATGTATGAGAAGGTCAAAATAGTATAGCAAAAGTTTACTTGATTAAAATTACCATAAAAACAATGAAAATGAATTTTTGAATTTTGAATTAAACCGAGTTGAATTTAAATTTAATAAATCAAAACTAGTAACCTCAATACGCAAAATAATTAATTACGACAAAATCTTCAAATTAAAACAACAAATCCTACACGTTTGCTTTCATTTTAATAAGTGAATTTTTTAAAAATCTATGTGGAAAATAGAACGATAACATCTTGCCGGTTCTACAAAAAAATCCTTACATTATCTCTCAATCTGTTTTTAATCTTTTATTTATCTCTCGGTCTTTGCCTCGCAATCTAGCTAGTTATTCACTGCATGGTCCACTGATCCGACAATGTTCCAGAGCGAGCACGTAGATGACAAAAACCTCGTAGAAATTCAATATTACCAAGACGTTGCTCCGCGCTGCTTGAGCAGGAATTAGAAAATGTCCCTCGGACGAAATATTTACAAAAAAATAATCACGTCGCCGATAAATAAGTAACAAATAATGTCCTTATCCTTTTTGCATCAATACGATCTTAATTTGCGGTCTCTCACAAAGAAATTACATACCTCTTTACATTGAGTTAAATAAAGATCGACTTTTCGCCAACTTACAATATAAAAATTCACGCAGCTTAAAGATTCAAGTTAATGTGTTTCTCTTTCTGAACTTCTCTATTAAATCTTAAAGGATAAAGTAAGAATCTATTAGAGATCTAAGATAATAGGCTATTGATTACAGGATTTTAAAAGGAACTTCAAGATATTTTATTGCATGAATCGTTCAAAAGGTCATTTTAGATGAAAAAATCGCGAAGTGCTGTTAAACTAGAAAGTGGAAATTGGAGATAGGGGTGAGAATGCGCTTTTTTAGTTTTTTAATTGTAGCTTGAAAACGAAGCAAAATTTCTCTATAGTTCGTAGGAAAAATTATTTAGAGAATTGAATATCCCATCGAAATAGCTTATTTAAAAAATTTAAAAGGAAAATTTTATGCAAAAAAATCGTTAATAAACAATTTGAAAAAAAAGCAAAAATTTCGATTTTTTATATTTGTTTACTTTTTTGACTATTTATTTTTTTAAGTAAAGATAGGTTGTAAAGTATTTTTGAATTAAAATTGACTGGTATATGTCCGTTCAAACTTACAATAAGCCAATTTTTCGATTTTCGCCGCGTTTCCCCTTATAAGTTTTAATTCTCATTTTTTGCAAAAAAGGAAGGAAATAAGACGTTCAAGGATTTTTATCACGACTTATTCGAAGGGTCATTAAAAATGAAAAAACCGTGGGGTACTATTAAAATAGAGGGTTTGAAATAGAAGATAGGGGTGAAAATGCACTTTTGCGGCTTTTTAAATATATCACGACAACGAAGCAAAATTTCGGTATAGTCAGGAAAAATTTTGTAGAGAATTGAATTTTCCATCGTTAATAAGATTTTTTGATTTTTTTGCCTTTTTGAAGGTGTGAAAATCGTTATTTATTACTAACAAATAAAACTTTTGAAATAATTTTGTATTAAATAAAGAACCAATTTGTTGTAAAAATAATAAGAATTATAATCATTATTATGTTAAAAACGACGGAAATATTTAAAATATCTAAAAAATATTTAAGTTTGACCGGTTACAACTCAGTCAATATTAGTCCAAAAACCTTTGAAATCTTATGTAGTTTTTCAGTACAGCAATTTTCTTTGCCTTCTTCTACTAAAAAAAAATAGTCAGAAAAGTAAAAGGAAATAAAAAAATCGAATTTATTTTCTTTTTTTCAAATTATTTATTAACGATTTTTTGCATAAAATTTTTCTTTTCAAATTTTAAATACGCCATTTCGATAGGAAATTCAATTCTCCAAATAATTTTTCCTATAGACTAAGTATAGTGAAATTTTGCTTCGTTTTCGAGCTACAATTAAAAAACTGAAAGGGGTGCATTTTCACCCCTATCTCCAATTTCCACCCTCTAATTTAATAGCACTCCGCGATTTTTGTATCTAAAATGACCCTTTGAACGATTCACACAATCAAATTTCTTGAACGTCATAGCTCCTTTTAACCCTGATTTTTTGGATATAATCAATGGCCTAGCCTATACTTAAATGTGTATTAATTATTATTTATAGATACATTAAAGGCCATAAGCCTATTGTGAATTTCACTTTTCACTTTTGATGCCGGTCTCTGACTTCTATGACGTAATATAGGTATTTGTCATTTGTCATAACACTTCCTTGATAATACAAACCCACAAGAATCGGTACAACAACGACTAGGGAACGGAGTTAACAACATACGATCAAAGCCGCCAATGTCTAGTTCTGGAGCTGGTATTGGACTTTCCCAATATCAATAACAAGGCTGCGGATGGGGATCGTAGAAAGGCCGGCGGTTCAAAAATGTGCGAAGAAAGTTACCGTGCGTTACGTAAGGCAATATTATCGCGTGTACGCGTAACCAGTGTTGCCAGATGAATTTTTTAGAAAGGACCTGACGCCTGAGTGAATTTAACATCAGATTCGTTGAAGAGACTCAAAGTTTATGTTTAATATGCATGTAAATATGTACCCGCGAAACACACATTAACCTACATCACGTTTACCAGACGTCTAAGAACGAATATGGAAGATATTTCAAAATTTCAAATCCCTGTCGTAATACATAAATAAAAAAAATACGTATAATATTTGTCTAAACTAACCTACCGTATCATACTGAAATTATTAAATAATATACTTAAAATTAGCCGGGATAAGAAGGTCTTATTCTTTCTACATTTCACTTAGGATTATTAAATAAATAATAATAGAACAAAAGTGTATGTAGTACCAAACTTTTAGAAAAAAAATAAATTTTGAGACGATATCAAAAGTGGGTATACCAAATTTCTCGTTTAAAAATACAGATCTGGCAACACCGCGCGTAACTGTACCTATGACGTGCCGTGCCGGTTTTTATGTGGATTTCGAGGGCGATTATACAATTTCGTGAAATTATTCCGTTACTCTGCCCAAGAATGTGTTGTAAAGTTATGTTTGTTCGTATACTGCCGATCGCTAAAAAAGCTTTAAAACATTTACACGAATAGTAAACTTTGCTTCTAATAGGCCGCAATTATTGCAGTAAATAGTGTATAAGAGTAAACCATCTAATAAATAAGTTATGACATAACACTTTCCTCGAGCCGTCAGCGGCTTCACTTCCCATTTCTACCAACAATCGGTCACCGGTCACTTCCGTTTCCCTGGATTAACTGGCTCAGCGCGGAAGACAATCGAGAATTATAATCGTCTAATAATGAAGCGAAATGTGGGAACTGCATACTGCAATATAACAGATCTCACCGCATTTACTTTTTTTTCAAATTTTACCGCGTTTTCTGTTTAAATATATTATACTTCAGATTCTAGCAGCAAGTTTAAAAACGAGCAATATAATTTAAATAAACGATGCGTTTGTATGATGCGGCCGAATATGTGTGTTTCGATGTGACATTCAAATAGATTTATTTCAACTTGGTCGTCCGCTAGCCTTCTAAAGAAAGTGAAATTGCGGCGCCGTAATACTCCACTTTCGCCCTCCCTACGTTGCGACCACAGATCTTGGCGGTAACAACCCACATACCGAGCAAGTTAATCTGGAAGTAACGGGTTGGGAATGCCTACGGAATACCTCCGGATCATCACAAGAGATTCTGGGACAACAACGGAACGGCAGAGTTCGCATCTGGGCTTATCTAACTGTTACTGTGTCTTGTTAATGAGGTGAAGTGATAAAATATATCTGTCTCTGTGGAAATTTATCGAGAAATGTGCAGTTGAAAATTGAATAAATTAACTGTTCTTTAATAGCGCTGTTGTAAAAATAAATGGACCTTTTATGAATGCGTAAAATACGATTAATCGAAATACCTATATTTCAGTGACGCAGAAAAAGGGCGTGCTAACAAAATATACCAAGTTTTGATTACTGGTTTAACAAATTCACTATCTAACAGCGTTACTTTGCGTTGGTAGAAACGAAGATGAGGTTACGTAAGAGGAGAAACTGCAAATTTTTAAGATGAAGGTTTCGACAAACTACAATCAATAACGGTTTAGTTAAGAAAGCACGCGACAACTAACTGTCTAAAATAAATGTATTTATCAAATTGCTCAACAGTGAAACTTCAATTATAGAACAAAGTTTACAATTGAATCAGAAGTATAAAACACATAAAAAGTATAAAGTATATTTACAGTGTGCCCATGCACGAAGCAATTCTACTTTTGTTCAAATGTAGAAAATTATTTTTTGGCTAAGCTAATACATTATATCCAGGGTGTTCTCTACAGAGAAGTTTGGTGGATGAGTTTATCCTTAGAATTCATTAATACACTATATCAGATAAAAACACAAAAATAACCAATTTTTTTCAATATTTAAAATGTACTGGGTGTTCACAGATCGTCAACCGTAAGTTTGAAAACAATCTGTTTTTAAATTGAAATTTTGTGAAATTATCATGTAACGTATAGTAAACAGTCTCTAGAGTTACAATACAATATTTGTACCTTTTTGACAATTATTATTTGGACTTTACCCTGATATTATCTCAACTGTAAACGGGCCACAAGGAACACATAAAATGGCAATGGTAGTATGTACTTACGTTCCGGCAAGAGTTTCATCTTTTTTGAAATTATTAGGCAAACTTTGATTTCACTCACCTGCAACAAACGAAATTGATTACTTAAAGATTGGGGACGGGTCATAAAAAATTTCATATCTGATTTCTGTTATAAATATTTACAAAATTTTCAGCATCAGATCGTGTTTTATCGCACGATCTCTTAATTTCTAAGAATTTGAATACTAATGAAATTTTTTTGTTTCAGTCTATCAACAAAATGACACACTCTGGTCCGTGAGAGACATGCCAGGCTTAATTCTTTACAGGAACAAATACGCGGCCACAATTTTTCGCAGGATAAAAATGAAAATTCGCCCTCCGGATTAAAGAGGAAAAAATATCAACAGAATAATTTTCTAGTCAACATATCTATTAATAGGTAAATAAAAAAATAACGAGCGTTCAAATAAAAACGTGGTCAAGTTGGTTCTGAAAATTTGGACGTAGGGCGTAGCGTATAGCAAATGAACTTAAACGTCATCTGTCAAAGCGCTATATCGCCGCTATCAATTTGAATATTTTCGTTTTAAAAAGCGTTTAAAATGGTGTTTTCTCAAGAACAAAAAGTGTTTATCATAGAGTCCTACTTTAGAAATGGACGCAAGATTGATGGAATATGGAAGTATTCTATTGAGGAATGTTTCATAGAATTTCAAAATCAATTTCCCGGCGTTGTCGAGTACAAAATTTTTGCAGTTCAGCGTTGTGTTTTCGTGAAACGGGCAGTGTAACAAGAAAATAAGGAAGCGGCCGACCTAAAAAGCGGACTGAAGAATTAAAAGAAAATGTCCAACAAATAATGGAAAATGCGCCAAGAACTTCTGTACGTGTTTTATCACAAATGGTGGGAGTATCAGTCGGTACCTGCCACACAGTGTTAAAAAAGCTCCTTTAATTGTTTGTTATTGTTATCACGATTATTCTTTAAAATAAAGTTATATAGTCATTAACGTTATTGAAACTGACAGCTGCTATACAGCTCGTTGAGAAATGAGGTTAAGTTGGTCGCTATAAGCTACTCCCTACGTCCAATGTGTCAGAGCCAACTTCGACCACGTTTTTATTTGAACGCTCGTTATATAAATAATATAAATATATAATTCATAGATAGTTCTCGTAGCAGAAAAATCATTATTAAGTAATTACCATGAATATTACTGATATATACAGTATTTTTTATTTGTAAATTTAGAAGAAAATATCATTCTTTATAAAAGTTACTGCACTCAAACTTTTACAAAAATGTTACTACTTACAGTAATTCCAAAAAGGTCGTACATATCATAAATGTTTTATAAAAATACAAGAAATGCAAAAATAGTAAATAAAACGACACTGAATTACATATAACATTAAAAAAACAATATTAAAATGTACTTAAATAAATGCAAAATAAAATCTATAAAGAGAAATGAAAAGTGTAACAATAAACATAAATAAAAATTAGTAGAGAACAGACAATTTTAAAAATAAAAAAGTTACAGGAAGTGCTACTTTTGTCTCATTAGCAAATAAGCAATGAAATAATATATCAATTATCGAGGCCATATACAGGGTGATTCAGAACTTATAAAAAAAATTTTGGATGTACAGGAGACTTACAAATACAATTTTGTAGAGAAAAAATCGAAAGGGGCAGTTCGAAAATGATTTAAAAATACACTTCTGCACGGCACTGGCAACTGGTCCACTGTAAAACCTGATTTCACAATGTGACCGGCATGACGGCAAAGTGTGATAAAAATGGACAAAAATATTCGCAAGGAAAGAAATAAATAGAATTTTATAGCACCTATTTTATATCAGCAAATTCAACTGCTTTTGACGTCATTGTTATTAATTAATAAAATTAATTTGTGTTTTTAAATAATAAAATAATTTGACATACCAGATGTTACAACTGTTCAAAATTTTATCTACCGACCTGAAAACACATTTGGGTCAGTCTTACTCAGTTTCTACGAACTAACACAAATGTTGTCTTGCTTCATCATAACACAAATGCTTCAACATAAATTAAAACGATATCCATCAACTCCGAGTTGCTATACACGCAAACCATTTTTGACACTAAATACGAAAAAACTATTGTAAACACCACAGATAACAGTAAATCGGATTTCAGTATTCGGAGTCGCTGAGGCCAGGTGGCTCTCCACGCATGTTATGAATGACGCTGGAGACTACAGTTGTCCAGCTATGTAATGGTTGAATGTACTACAACTTCAATAATTTTTTTCCCGGAAACTATAAGGATTTTACAAATTATTTTTTACGATATGGACTCCACTTCTCATGCCGCGTCTATTCCCAAATTTTTTTGGATAAGTTGTGAATCACCCTGTATAGACATGAAATACGAAGAAGAAGAGTAATTGTTGCAACATTCAAATGGACAGAATGATGCCTTTGAATATACTCCAGACTGTCAATATACGTCAGCTGTTAATACACCAAGTTCAGAGGCATATTCCCGTTTTGATCTTGCTAGTGTGTCGTAGTTTTAATACGTCCGATCGAAAAATAAGCATTTTTAATAATAAGTTCCAAGGGTTTTATCATGCATTGGTAGTAATATTCAATATGTGATTACTAAAAGTCAGTTTATTACTAATATCGTACCTGGATTGCGAAAAATTTTCTGGTGTCGCTAGCAGATTGCTGATAATACGATAATAATTATAACTGACTTTTTGTTTTCTTGTAAAGGATATCCTACTCCTACACTATGTTTTGTATATAAAATGAAGAAAGCGCTTTAAGAGTTTGACGGAAATTATAATAAAAAATCGTAGGACATACAGTATACGTATCCTTGGCCTATTTTTTAGGAGACTGTGATATTAAACAATAATACAATAAAACACAAAATGGTACTGGAGACCCTATTTATATCGACGGCTCTGAAAACTGTGGGCATAGTCGGCAAAACGCTATGGGTGATACCCCTGATATTCGCTGGGCTCTCCCTAGTCACTAACTACAACCGTTTCGACCCAGAAGCCCCCATCAGGGAAACCAGGATGATTTACAGGGAGTACGACTTCGTCGTTGTAGGTGGCGGGTCTGCAGGGGCGGTGGTAGCTTCGAGACTGTCGGAAATCCCCGAGTGGAAGGTATAGATCGCATTTTCACTGCTTTTTTTCATCCTAGCAGTCTTCCCTTTGCAGGTGTTGCTTCTGGAAGCCGGTCCGGACGAGAATGAGATCAGCGACGTGCCGTCCCTCGCGGCTTACCTCCAGCTGTCCCCCATGGACTGGACTTACAAGACGGAATATACCGGGAGAGCCTGCCTGGGCATGAAGAATGGCCAATGCAACTGGCCCAGGGGGAAGGTCCTGGGTGGGTCTAGCGTGCTGAACTACATGCTGTACGTGAGGGGCAACAAGAAAGACTATGATTTGTGGGAGGAACTAGGTAAGGCGCACGGCAAAGAAAGAACTACAATGAAAATAAACAGAGTTGAAGACTATCCATTTACTTTATTTTTGCGAATTTTCATACTAATATTACATCAACTTCTTATGTACAAACACAGAAACAAAAAATGTGAAAATTTTACCCTAACGTTTAAAGAAGAAGAATGTTGTCGATTGGATTGGAGCATATTTCTCACTACAAACATTTCAGGTAATCCTGGTTGGAATTACGACGACGTCCTCAAGTACTTCATAAAGTCAGAGGACAATCGCAACCCTTACCTGGCTAAAACGTCCTATCACGGACAGGGAGGCCCCCTGACCGTCCAGGAGTCCCCTTGGCGAACGCCGCTGGTGGTCGCCTTCATCGAAGCGGGCTTGGAGATGGGATATCCCATTCGCGACATCAACGGCGCCGACCAGGCCGGTTTCATGATCGCGCAGGGGACGATTCGGAGGGGTAGGTTAACGAAAATGCCAAAATAGGACATACCACCGACCAGTTTTAAACAGAAAAATTTATATTTGTACTTTTAGGATCTAGGTGTTCCACTGCAAAGGCGTTTCTTAGGCCGATTAAAACGAGGAAAAACATACACGTGGCTTTAAATGCTCACGTAACGAGGATTTTGATAAATCCTTCCAATATGAGAGCCTTTGGAGTGGAGTTCGTGCGAAACGGTAGGTATTAAATGTACTGTTTACTGTTACCAACATTACATACATCTGTATTCCCGGTTGCATACCACTTCAGTATGTATATAATAAAAGCAATTATTTTAAAAAGTTACATGTTTCGTTAACCGATTGCCTATTCCGAAATTAACGCCTTTTTTTATTGATAACAGGCAGGAAGCAAGTAGTTATGGCTAGAAAGGAAGTCGTCATGTCGGCAGGTGCCATAAACACGCCCCAAATCATGATGCTCTCGGGCATCGGGCCTAAAAGGGAGCTAAAGAAGCACGGGATCCCCGTGCTGAAGGACCTACCGGTGGGAGAGAACCTGCAGGACCACGTCGGGATGGGTGGTCTCACTTTTCTCGTGGACAAACCGGTGTCCATAGTGCAAGACAGATTTCAGGCTTTTCCTATGACCATGCAGTACGTCGTCAACGGAAAGGGCCCCATGACCACCTTGGGAGGCGTGGAGGGACTTGGCTTCGTCAATACTTATTTAGGTAGTTCCTTTTTCTATTTATGATGAACGAAAAGATGGAAAGCAAAATACAACTGAAGACTAACAGTCAGTGTATACGACGTATAGATACGGATTTTATTACTATAGACGCAAAATATTTCAATGTATTAAATAATTTGGGCTAACGCTATATATCGTAGAATAAACCACTTAAGGACGGGATTTTGTACAAAAAATATCGCCCAGCGTGAGTCACGAAACGGGACCCCGGCAGGTGCTGTTCTAGCGGCCAACGCTTCAAGTCTAATAATTCCGCTGCACCGGATATTCGTCCGATTTTTCAGGAACGGCTCCAATTTGTGTACATACAATCTTATAAGGAAAGAGAGTAAATATTTTATTAATCAGTAATAGATTATCGAGGACAATAATATTTTTTTATTGAGTAGGCAATAATTTTTAGTTAATAAGCTTAAACAATCTTATAATTACTATTCCTTCATTATAAAAACAGAAATACGGTTTTTAAAATTACATGTAGTTTCTTCTTCAAAAGTGACGTTAAAACACGTATAACATGGAATAGTCAACAGTCTAATGTTTATATTTTCACATTAACAATCCGATAATGTAAATTAACTGCTATTTTCAGTAAAAAAAATATATACCTAACCTGAAATATTTTTTTACTTTGACGAGTCGTTTTAACTTAAAAACACTGCTTAATTACTAAAATATATAGAATCTTGCTACTAATTGCGTTTGGAGAATAATATGTATAGGCATAAAATATATATATAATATTACTGTATGTACTTAGTCCATTGAAATGAAGGCTGAACCTCCATTTTTTCCTCTGTCGATCAAACCTGGGCGCAAATATGTTTTCGACCCTCAGGAATCCGAATCCGCAAACATTTTTGACCTAGGTGATCAGGCAAGGGGTCAAAAGGTCAAAAAACCCATAAAAAATAAGGTTTTTCGCAAATATCTCGTAAACTACGGCAAGTAGCAAAAAAATAATTGCACCATCGTGTTCCCAGGGAAATTACGATTATAAACAATTAAAAAATTTATTTAAGAAAAATTTTTGTTTTTAAAAAACAGATTACCAAGACAATAAAATGGCAAAAAAAATGTTTCAAAAATATTAAACTTGTCCATTTGTTTATAACAAATTTATAAACAAATAACGTTAAAAAGTTTTTAGCTAAGCTAATAAACGCAATATATTAATAGAAAAACAACTAAAATCAAACATTTTGTAAAAAAAAAATTTATAACATTTCCCGGATTTTTCATTTTTTGTTAACTTTAAAAAATCATTATAAACAAATGAAAAAACTTTTATAAACTTTTACAACGGAATCTTGTTTATTATGTATATAAAAAGACCTCCCAGAAAGAAAAAAAATGTTAGATACATTATTTAAAGTTTTACAACAAGTTTTATGAAAGATTAGGACCACGAAAAATTAGTTCATTAACAATTGAATAACTTTAACATAAGTCAAGTTAAAAATTATTTTCCAACTGGGCTGTGTTCCTTCAAGTGTCTAGATGACACTATAATTTATTTAGATTTTTAAATTAATATTGAATACTATAAAAAAATTATTTTGTGTTGCACACTTTGCTTGGCGGCGACGCGACGACGCGGAAACCGCCGCCGCCGCGCGGAGCTATATTTTCAACGTCAAATTAAAATTATAAATAATGGAGCTACAATTCCTGACTTATTTTGCTGAAATTTTCGCCTCTTTCAGGATCTATTTTGAAATTTCAGCTATCTTCAATATTTTTTTAGTTATAGTTAAAAAACGGAGACTCCCTTTTTCTCTTCGTTTTTTGTTTATAACAATTGCTATTTTTAATTGCGGATAAATTTAAAAATACTTCTTTCTCTGAATATAATTCCGAATCCAATGTACTAACAACCATATTTTTAGGATTACAATAACTATTTTTCGCAAAAAAAAACTTACTTCTCGACTAGACTAGTGGTTTCCTTCTTATCGGTAAGTAGCTACTGATTTGTAGATTGAAACAGAAATCTACCTGAGTCAGACCAATTTTTAAGCTGTAAATTTATTTTGAAACTACCAAGGCTACAATATAAATAACGATTTTATGTGGGACACCCTGTACGTAAAATTTAATCTTAATTCTTAATAAAGAAAAATTAGTACATATTATTGGTTTTTTATGCGTTATATTTTCGTACTACTTAAGCTTTACAAAATCTTATTACTTAGGTACCTACCTACTTTTAAAATATTACCCATATTTATATATCAAAGATAATATCAGACCATTATGGGTCCCATATTCTGTAAATAGTGTTTTCCGCAAAGACAAATAATTTCAAACATTTAATAACTGAATAATCTAAAGCTTATCAAATAATAGGAATGTTATGTCATGCCACCTGAGTATTTTCAAAGACGCCGGCCGCAGTAAAACGAATAAACAGCTGCAAAAAACGATCAAACCATTAAGGTTTTAGGTACTGAAATCTACGAAAATACTATCTTTTTTATATATAATTCCACATGTAAATATTCTTATAACATTTACTTGCTTAGTCCTACATATAAAATTGTTTACTTTTTATAAGTACGTGAAAATAATTGTTAAAATGTGGAGTTAGGATAATAGCAAACGCATGTTTTGCAAATGCTTTTTTTTAGTTATTATTTTATTTGGGTAAATTTAAACGGTAACCATGAATAAACAAAACATCAAGGATTTTATTTTTGTGCTTACCCCTACTTTTGTTCTACACGTTTTACTTTTAAAGATTTCAGTACCTAAAAACGCCAGAAATTTCACTATTTCTCGGCCAATACAATTTACAATAAACCAACTCTGTGTTTTCGCTTTCATTTTCAAGGGTAGCGACACCTGTGACAGAGTACACAAACTAATTATATTTAGAAATTCTTGTAGAAGATAGAAACCGCTAAAATTCTGGTTTAAATATATAATATAATATAATATAACATGGAGTCGTGTGTAAAATGTTGTCATCTTACTTGAGGACACAAATTATAGAATTGTTAATAAATATTAATCTGAAAATTAAATACAAATGATCCTAAGTGTCCGTTCTAGTGAGTGAAGTAGTTTGGTTATTGTGCCTGACCTAGTTCCGTCATAAATCCAATATATTGGCAGACTAACAGTATGGTTAAAATTGAGGTACTTTGGCATTTATTTAAATTATTCTTCTGTTCTCATGAGCATTGAAATTTATTTCACTCACTAGCGGGAACCATTGCGAATACATTGATATATAATAATATTCAATTATGTTAGTTTCTTCGATGATTTGTGTCCTCATCTGAAGCTCTGTTACATGGTAAAAATATACATACTAAATCGCCCCCTTAAACCTGTAGGCCTACAAAGTATGTGCACCAATCAGATAAAATATTTGAGATCGCATTTCCATAATAAAAAACAAAAATAGATAGAAATTGCACACCACTGAACAGAAGAAAATAAATTTTATTTTAAACTGCTTCAATGTTATGAAAATGTCAATCAGGACCAGATAAACATACAAGTTCCTACAGAAAGGTCAGTTACACCATGAAACTGACGGTTTTATTCTTGCAATAATAATTAAAGATTTGTTAGGGATTTTATTTCTTAATAACAAATTTTATTTTTTCAGGAAACAGGTCCTGGCCTGACATCCAGTTCCACATGGCCCCCGCAAGCGTCAATTCTGACGGCGGCAGGCGCGTAAGAAAGGTGCTGGGCCTTACAGAAGAACTTTACCGTACGGTTTACAAACCCATAGCCAACAGAGACGTCTGGACTCTGATGCCCTTGCTGCTAAGGCCTCACTCGAGGGGGTGGGTGCGGCTGAAAAGCAGAAACCCCTTTGACGCCCCTCTCATCAACGCGAACTACTTCGATGACCCCTTTGATGTTAAAACCCTCGTGGAAGGTAAGTCCGGATAGACGAAAGCATGCGAGAAAAAAAATCCATGTCGCTTTCTAGGTGCCAAGATAGCTATAAACATCAGTCAGGCCGAAGCGTTCAAGAAATTCAACTCACGCCTCCACAGGATCCCCTTCCCCAACTGCAGGCACGTGCCCTTCGCCAGCGACAAGTACTGGGAGTGCCACATCCGCACCATCTCCATGACCATCTACCATCCTGTGGGCACGTGCAAGATGGGGCCTCAGTGGGATTCCGGGGCCGTGGTGGATCCCAGGCTGAGAGTGTACGGGGTTGGGGGGCTGAGGGTGATCGACGCCTCCATCATGCCTACCATACCCAGCGGGAATACCAACGCTCCCGCTATAATGGTGGGGGAGAAAGGGGCCGATTTGGTGAAAGAGGACTGGATGATGAGTAGGGGCAAATAGCGTAGTTTTTTTAAATGTACAAAATACAATTGAATCGCTTGTTTCGAAAACAACCAAAGTCAGTTGTGAGTTTTCTAAAGATGCAAAACGTTTCACAAACATAAAGTTCATGCGTTTAATACTGCGAAAAACTTCTAGTACCTAGCTATTTCTTACGAAAAAGTAAGAGAACCGCTTCTTGGATGTAAGAAGGTAAACTAATTTTTTCTGGATTACCTTCAGTACAACTCACATAATAAAAGTGTACATCCCTAGATCTGGGCGAGGTCCGGAACATTTTCAAATTTGCAAAAATGTTTAAATATTAAAAAAATACCTATTTTATACGAGTTTTTTACTTATATCTTGGAACCTATGCATTTTGGAAGAATATTGAAGAGGAAAAAAGTTTTAGAATTGAATTTTGCACAGTATACTGTAAGTTAAAATTTATTACCCATGTTGTAAAAAAATTGATGAAAAATAGGCAAAATAATCAAGTTTTTTTGTATAATTTTTTAAAAATATTTTAATTGCTTCGAGGGTATTCTAATTTTGGTAAAAAAAACTTTAGAGTATAATAAAATAACACACCAAATTTCATTAAAATAAGTTCGATAGTTTTCGCAACATAATTTAATAAAACAAATTTTGAAAAAAATTTTCGAATTTTCCAAATGTTGCACAGCCTCAAATAAAGCATCTAGATACTTAAATATTTTCACATAGAAAAGAGCGCTCAACCTTTCAAATGGTTTTTGAAATATTGAAATCCGTTGATTAGGACGACCACAGTAAATTTTTAAAGTTAACCCTCTTTTTTTATTGTTAAACAATTAGATTAGATTTATCAATTTGCAATTTAGTTTTTTTCAAAAATTATAATTATAAAGTACTCGCGAAGACGCTTCTTTAAAAAAAAAGTTTAAATTCCGGTTGTTCGTTTTCGAGATATAAGCAGTCAAAGTTTGTCGGCATTTACCGTTAATTTATAAACAATTTAGCGATAATCTTTGATCCAGTGGCTTCGTTTTTTCGTGTTCTATGCTGGAAAAAATTTTCATATCCATATGTTATCGGCAACATAAGTTGATAAATCATCGGAAAAGCTGTCGCTCGCATGCGTGAAAAGTGACTCAAAACACGAAAAGTGGGGGAGAGGGCTTTCGCTCCGAGATTGAATTCGGAGGTTCAAAATGCGAAGGTGCGAAAAAATTTGCATTCCAAGATATAAGTAAAAAAGTATTTTTTTATAATTTTTAAACATTTTTGTACTTTTGAAAATGTTCCGGACCTCGCCCAGATCTAGGGATCTACACTTTTATTATGCGAGTTGTACTCACATCCACCTCAAAACAGATCCGCCCTGGTCTATTCTGTCAATCTGTTTTCCTTAACAGAACTTGGAATGACACTTCGTTTTTAATTAGTTTTGTCAGATTAAATTTGTTTATTTTTCCTGATCTATGTATTTTCTGATATAAGCGATTCTATTAGAAATAAACTGTAAATATTCTAGAATATGATAAAGAGTCTTGTAAAGTACTGCAAGAATAGTCCGAATGCATTTTATTCTGTACATATAGTTATAGTTGTCTGGCTGGGAGATTGCAATATTTCTGTATATAAAAAATCTATGCTTGTTTATGTTTTTGATGCTGTCTTGACAATTATTAGCGTTAAATAGTTGTGTAAATGTATATAGCTATTAAATGAATTATTAGGATCTGTAAATAGTCATTATAATATTAACAAGGACGTAGAATAAAATAATAAGGATTGTTTATTATACTTTAATTGCCTCATTGTATATAACTTGTATTAACTATTGTGCCAGTCATTGGAAACATGCGTAGGCTATCGATTACTTTTCCATTTTTGTAATAAAATGCTTAAAAATTAGAAACCGATCTTTTTTTATACGACTTTGACTTCCCTCTTAAAGAGCTAGGCTATTGGAAAAATACCAGGAATTATAAATGAAATCCTTGAGCGAAAACGTACTTTTTTATGAATTATTGATGAGAGTACATAGATCACTAGCGCTCCGCAAAATTATGAGTAAATATAGTTTATGTAACTACATATTTATACTCTATTCGCGTATTGTGTGTGGATTTTAGCAAATCAATCATTCTATGTTGACTAAAAATTTCGTTAGAAGGTAAATTGTATAGGAAATTAAATTGTAGAAGGAACTATAGTAGGATCATATTCGATGCAAAGTAATAAATCATTGCCTGTCAAGGGAACCAATGAAGTACGCTTTTAAGGGTTTTACAAATTGAATAATTTCTCTATACATTATGAAGGGACGAGAGGATCGGTTCAGGTCTGGCACCCTTGTTCCTACAAAAATTCCTTTATTCTCATAAACTATTTATTTTAAATGTAATTTATTATAAATCCAATTTGTTTCCTAAATTCCACATATGTACTACATTTCACCTCTGTACGCGCCACTGTTGTTTACTTGTTTTTTTGGAGGCGCTCTCTAATTGACGGCAAAGCTCGCCAGGTTAGTATTTGACGTATAACCGACCAGTTCGTACACTCGATGCACCTGGGCGACTACAGCTACTACCAGAACACAGTGCGTACGCAGCGGTATTTCAGATTTTACATTGAATTTCATTTTAAATTTGAAATGATTTATCTTACGCCTCCTAAAAATGATGACACGATTTTCCTTTGATAAAAGACCGACAACTTTTTGCTCTACTTTGCATCGAATACGATCCTACTATACTAAAATTTACCAACGTGAACAGTGGAGGAAAACGACAATAGCAGCTGCAAATATAATATTTAATTTGTTCGGTGAGATAAGACTTTACTGGGGATTTCTAGTTAATAAAACAAATACGAAATTTTCCGGTAAGAATTATAAAGCGTGGATACACTTCGGTACTACGTAATTTTGCTGTTTCTTTGTAAAATTACACTAATAATGTAAATTATACAAAAAGTGTAAAATTGCATGCTTAATCTAACTTTACTTGTATGATATAATTTTACATTACCCACAGTGTCGTGAAAATAACAAATGATCAAGTGTGTAACTTTACATAAAATATTTATAAGTGAAGTTTTAAAGTTACAAAATTCGGTAATTCGCTTTAGATGCCTCCCACTATTGGCGTGTGTAATCAGTACTTGATTCGTTTGTCGGTTCGTCCGTCTGCACAAAAGACACCCAAAAAGTCGCAAATGAAAATTGCGGTTAATGCCACGCAATCCGTTGTGCCGCTCGCGTGCTATGGATGTTTCGTCTTAGATGTAAGCATGCAGCAAAGTGCAAGTCGTCAGACCGCATGCAGCAAAGTGCAGGTCGTCAGACCGCTGCAGAACGTGAAAGTAAACTCCAAGGACACCTCTTACGTCGGAATAGTGACAATGTCTAAAGCCATGGTACTGATATACTCGCGCAAGTCGCAATTCACTTTCGTGACTGAGTCTAATAATAATCTAAGATTAATTTCGCATCTTTATAAGATTGGTAAGAAATTCTATGAAAATATTTTCTATTTAACTGGTGTCCCTGATTTAGATGCAAAGGAAATAAATAACAAAATTGTATGTTTATATGGGAATAAATAACTTAATTAATTACTGTCCAAGATTCACACTTCAAACCATGATTTATGGACATATACCTAATTCTCTCGTATATCATTTCTCTATTACCATTCGGTAGAGAATTTGGGGCTACTATCCCTTGACATTGTTTATGGCTATTTAGAAAATCGAAATGACACACCAGAAGACGACCTAACCAAGTTAAATAAAAGAATCAATGGCATCGATGCTAACGTCCGACGGAAAATGAAGTTGTCATGTCAGAACCAACACCAATGGGATCCAGGCAGGAGATCTTGTATGGCTGTATAACCCAGTAAGGCAGAAAGGATCAACAGGTTCAACGACGTACTCTACGGAATTCAGAGGGCTCATAGCAAAAATGAAAAAAATTTTGCTTATAAATTATACCTCCATTTCTTGCAATGTGCTCTTTTCCTAAAAGGAGTTGAATATCAAAGCAACATAAAAATTCTATTAAAAATTAATTCGAAATGTTTTATATGTCAAGTGCCACGCCTAATGTTTACTTTTGTAATTTAATGGCACTATGAGTTGGAAATTACGTGTGGAGTATATGTGCTAATTGATTAATGACTTCGTCGTTGTTTTGTTTTTGTTTTTAATGTCAATGTTTCATCTAGGACAAGGTTAATAGTTTCTCCATGGATCTGGTTGGATTACATCACGACTTGCACCGCGCGGTATTCCAAAGTTGCACTACAAAATGTGGCCTTACTCGCGCTTTCACAAACGTAAAATAAGCAGGATTCTTAAACCGATTCCATTCCAATCGATAAGAATGAAAACCGCCGGAAACGTGCGAGTTACAAATTATCAAGGGTTGAAGTAAAAGGATTACGTTATTTGACACCTCCATTGTGCATTAAGATACAGGGTGTTTCTTTAATAGTGTTAGGTTTTTTTTTACATAATTAATTACATATTTTTCCAAGACGGGTTACCGCGTACCAAAGTGAAATGAACAACATTAAATAAATTTAACAAGATTTACTGATCCAGTAAATGACACATATTGTCTCGAATAAAGTAAAAATTTCTGAATTATACCTAAAAATAAATAATACAGAATATTAAGAATTTAAACCAATTAATTAAACAGCTTTCTCAAAATAGTAATACAATAAAAAACTTAGTACAGCAGGTAACGAAGTCAATAAAAATAAATAGTACCTATGTAGGTACTAAAGTACTCTGTAAAAAAACAGCCTACTTATTTAAATGACAAAGTATATATTTAATTTTGCACATCGTCTTTTAGGGACGTCTTTATCCTCCAATGTTTAAACCCGTATAAAACAAATTCATCTTAGACTTCTTTAACTGTGGAGACTAATTAAATGCACAATATGTACCGTGGTTCAAATTGGACGGTTTTCAAGGGTTACTGCGAATCTGTCATATACAGAACAAATCTGAGATCTTTTTTTCGAGAAAATAACAATGGCACAAACCGCATCTCACTATTTGTTACCGTTTTCGAGCTACAGGGTATTTCTCGATTTTTGGACCGTTTGGACCTTCAACTACCCTAGGAGCCCAAAATAGGATAAATTAGTAAAGCAAAAGTTGAAACACATGGATTTGTACCTACGAGATCGTTTATGCGCTTTATGGCTTTTGAG